GGGGGGGGTCGGGGTCGGGGGGCAGGGCCGGGGGGCGGGGGGAGGCCAGACCCTCCTGCTGCTCGCTCATCCCCCCGAGGCCTGGAGAATTCCCCGGATTCTAGATCCGGGGATCTGAGGTCTGGATGGAATCCTGGCTGGCCCCTTGTCTTAAGCTCTGAGTGGAGGGCCTTCAGTGCTCAGCTTGCGCTGGGTGTTGAGTCTGGGGTCTGCGGGGGGCGGAGGGTCGGGTGGGGCAGGAAGCCTCTAAACTCCCTGAAACTGTGTACCTGATTTTGTGTGTGAGCATTTTTCCGGGGAGAGGGCCTCAGCTTTCCTTGGCTTTGTAGAGGCGTCTGACCCTGGAAAGGTTGAGACCCCTGGGTGGCCATGGAGCTTGCTCAGTGTCCTGTGGCAGGTCGGTGGCAGTGTGGGCCTGCCACCTGGCCATTGCTCCTCACAGGAAGTCGGGGAGGGAGCCCGGGCTCTGGTGTATTTCACAGGGTTGGGCGTGCCGGCTGGGGTGTGGGTCTGTGGGCTGGATCTTAAGCCTTCGGTCTACCTCCCTGGGCCAGGCTCAGACCCTGTGAAGACCCATTGTCGGGGCGGGGGGAATAGGCCTTGGAAATATTACCCATCTGCTGTCCTGGGTGGCAGGTAGGGCCCAGAGCAAGAGAGAACAGGCCTGGTTCTTGTTGAAGAATAAGGTCCTGGTCCAACTTGTCTGAGCACGCCCTCATCCACTTACCTCATTTGTACCCCAAGATGCTCCCCGGAGGGTGGGCAGGGCTGTTGGCGCCACGCACACTCTACAGAGGGGGAAGCCGAGGTCCAGAGAGGTCAAGGCCCTTGGCCAAGGTGGCAGAGCTAGTAGGGTGGGGCTGAGGGCTGAGGGCTGTTTGTCCCCCTTACCCCACACTCAGGGTGGGCCCTGAGCCAGGGGCTGAGGCAGCCCTGAACTCTGACCCCACAGGAGGCAAGCCGGCCAGGGGCCCCAGGCTCAGAGCGCATCCTCCTAGACATCCTGGAGCATGACTGGCGGGAGGCGCAGGACAGCAGGCAGGAGCTGTGCCAGAAGCTGCACACCGTGCAGGGGGAGCTGCAGTGGGCCGAGGAGCTGCGGGACAAGGTAGTGTCCACACCTCCCCCCTCCCCTCGTACCTCCCTTGCCCCCACCTGCCTTCTTTTTTTTTTTTTAACATCTTGCGTATAATTGCTTTACAATGGTGTGTTAGTTTCTGCCTTATAACAAAGTGAATCAGTTATACATATACATATATCCCCGTATCTCTTCCCTCTGGCATCTCCCTCCCTCCCACCCTCCCACCTGCCTTCTTGCTAACCGCCTGGGGAGGGGATCACCAGTTTACTTCAGCCAGCCTTCCCCCAGCATCCACTGTATGCCAAGTCCTGTGCCAAGAACTGTGCATTCATTTGCTCTCAAATATGTATTGAGATCAATCGGTGAACGGAGCAAAGGTCCCTGCCCCTGGGGAGGGCAGATTCTAGCAGGGGAGACAAACAGGACGCCATACACGTAATCCGCAGTCCGTTACGTCATGTCACAGAGGGCGATGAGTGCTGTGGAACAAGTAGAGCGGGGTAAGGGGGCAGATTGCACTTGAAATGGGGAGGCCCAGGTTGGCTGGGACGGGGTTGTTATCCGCATTTTACAGATCAGGCAGCTGAGGCCCAGTGAGGTGGTGTCAGTCAGTGGCCCAGGCCACCCAGCTGGGGAGGTGGGCACTCATTACTGCGGCTCAGGCCTCTCTCCCTGGACCTGCTGGACACCGGCTGGTTAGCTGCCCCTGTCCCCAGCCCTGGGGTCCGGCCTGGGCGTGTCCCACCCCGCTCCGCCTGCCCACAGTACCTGCAGGAGATGGAGGACCTGCGGCTGAAGCACCGCACACTGCAGAAGGACTGTGACCTGTATAAGCACCGCATGGCCACCGTCCTGGCCCAGCTGGAGGAGATCGAGAAGGAGCGGGACCAGGTGAGCCTGGCCTGCTGTGTGCCCGGCCCTGGTTTTCGTCCAGGGGACGATGACGCGAGGCAGACAGGACTGGAGTTGTAGACAGAGATGAGCAGTACACTTATCAGTTTAGGACGGGGCAAGTAGGCCAGGAGAGACAGACAGGGGGCCTGAGATGTGCCAGCCCACCCCCTCAACACACCTGCCTCACTGGGCTCTTGTGACAGGTATGAAAGTTGGTCCTGGCGGCCTTTGCATCTGAATCCCTTGTTCTCCCTGCCTCAAGGGCAAGGCCTACACAGTGGGAGGTACTTACAGATATTTGCTGGTGAAGAAATCCTCAAAAGTTCTGGCTCCCAGGCCCTGGATACCATAGCCCTCATCTCCTGAGGCCATAGGGTAGGCTGAGGACCTCGGGCCAGTTCCTCTGGGCCGCAGCCCTCCTTGCGTGAGGCTCCATGGGAAGGGCAGGAGGTTTTGTCCTTGGACCACGTTTGAGTCCCGCTAGGGGAGTTGAAGTGTACACGTGAGAATGGTCCTCAGGATCCCCTGCAGGGCCTGGTGAAAACGCAGATTTGAGGCTTCGTCCCCAGACATTCTGACTCATGTGGTCTGGGGTGGGCTCAGGAATGTGCACTTCACCTGCCTGCTCCCAGCCTGTGGGTCTCTGGCCCCAGCTCCCTCTGAGACAATGGGTAGCAGGTCCTGGCCATGGGCCCAGCTCTCAGGGACCCTGGTCTTCACTGTGGGGAAAGGCACTTTGGGTGCACTGGGCTGGATTTGAATCCTGAAGGCTGGGAATAAAGACCCCTGCACCCAGTGGGTCCCACAGAAGAGTTTTAAGTTGTTTTGGGGAAACGGTACGAGCCTGGACTCTGCAACTCTGTCCCTGCTGGCTTGGTGTCCATGTCTGTAAAATGAGAACAGTGAGAATCTCTAAGTCGCAGAGTTAGCGTGAAGATTAAATCAGCTGGTATTTAACACAGAGGACCTGGCACACAGGAAGTCCTTAATAAACGTTAGCTGCTGTTCCTGTTGCCACCCCCACATCTGAGAGGTCAGAGGCCAGGACAGCTGAGCCGATGTGGCTCCTTCAGCTGGCCCAACACCCTCCCTGCCCTCTCTCACCAGGCCATCCAGAGCCGAGACCGGATCCAGCTTCAGTACTCACAGAGCCTCATCGAGAAGGACCAGTACCGGAAGCAGGTCCGGGGCCTGGAGGCCGAGCGGGATGAGCTGCTGACTGCGCTCACCAGCCTGGAGGGTGCCAAGTCCCTGCTGGAGGTGCAGCTGCAGCGGGCCCAGGGTGGCCCCTACCTCAAGGTGAGCAGGGTCAGGAATCCAAGCTGGAGCTCTTGGCCAGGGTGAGACCTGGTGGGAGAACTCAGCCGGGGGTGGGGACATGGGGGACCCATTGGGAGTCCTCAGCTGGGCCTGGGAAGATGCAGGTTCTGGGAGGAAATACGTGGGTCTTGGCTGGAGCCCTCACCCAAGGTCAAGAACATGCCAGTCTTGGAGGGCCCTGTTGGCCAGGGTGGACAAAATGTCGCTCGGGTAGGTGTGGGTTGGTGTATCAGGGAACAAGACAGGAGCATGGGAGTCTCTGAGTTTCTGGAGTTGCACCTGGGGCACAAAGAATAGTTTGAAGCCTGGCTTAGCATATGCTTGGAGAAGCCCGGCTGCCCGAGGGCCTGTGAGCATCTTAGAATGCAAAATGTGGGCCCTAGAAGTCCCTCAGAGACCAGCTAGTCCAGTTCCCTCATTGCACAGGGCCCAGAGAGGGTCAGACGCTTGCCTGAGATCACACAGCCAGCCAACAGTGGAGCTGAGCCCCCAGATCCCTTATAAACCAGACACTGGCTCTCAGATCTCTGCCTGGAACTCTGCCTTTTCCTATCTTGGGTTTGCTTAAAGACGATCAGTTGAGTTTAGTATATGTGCTGCCGAAGCGAGCACTGATCAGTTGAGTTTAATGCTTGAAGAAATAGAACAAAGGAAGCGTGAATCTGTGATTTCTGACTTTTAAAAATCCTCAGTGGCTTTTAGGTAAAGGCAAAACCCCTTACCGTGCCCTAGAGGCCCTACGGGGTGCCCCGCCACCCCAGCCTGGTTCTCTCGGTCTCAGCCTTTTAATTCCTGGAATGTGTCACAGTGCTGCCTCAGGGCCTTTGCACATACTGTTCCATCTGCCTAGACCATCCGCCCCCCGCCCCAACTTTCACACCTACTTATCCTTGAGTTCTCAGTTCCAACCACACTTTCTCTGGAAAGCACTCTGATGCCCCTGGCTGGGGGGGCCTTTGAGTGTCTTCCCCACCCTGGGTACCTTCCTGCCTGGCCCTCCTGGCCGCTGAGCCTTATTTCCTTCATCTATCTGCTTGTTTATAGCTTATCTCCTCCGCTAGGGTGTGAGCTCCCCAAGGGCAGAGATCCAGAGATCCAGCCCTCCTTCCTCACCACATCCCTGTTCCCAGCAGGTGTTGAGAAAATGGCAGGGGCTGGCCCTGGCCCAGGGCCGCTGACCTCTCCCCACCCCTTTCCTCTCCCAGGCCTGCACCTCCTCGCATTCCCTGTGCTCCAACCTCAGCAGCACCTGGAGCCTGAGCGAGTTCCCCTCCCCGCTGGGAGGCCCTGAAACAGCTGGGGAGGCGGCTGTCACGGGGGGATCTGAGCCCCACACCTCGGTAAGACACCTGCCCTAGCCCAGACATGGGGGGTATGGATGGCCATCGTAGAATTACTGACACGTAGAGTACTCTCCAGTTTGCTGACAGTTCGGTTTCACACGAGAGGAAATCGAGGCCCACGAAGGCCAAATGCCTTGTTTAAGCTCACACAGAGCCAGCTCAGTGCTGGGACTGGGCCTGGGTGCCAGGAGGCCTGGGGAGCCACTCACATGCCCATAACCTTGCAGAGCCTACCCCTCGGCTCTGGGCCCTAGCTCCAATCTGTGAAATGGGCACAAACTAGGTACGATGAGTTGTGGCCGGGTCCTGTGGGGGTGACCAGGCCCTGCTGTGGCTTTGCAGGAGGAGGCCACGGACAGCGAGAAGGAAATCAACCGGCTCTCCATCCTGCCCTTCCCCCCCAGCGCCGGCTCCATCCTCCGCCGGCAGCGGGAGGAGGATCCCGCACCCCCTAAGAGGTAAACAGCTTCCTCCCAGAATCCCTGATGCCAGAGTCAGGTCTAGGCTGTCACCTGTCTTTACTGCCCTTAAATGGCTGGAGCTTTGGAAACCCAGGTTGCGGGAGTCATAGGCATGAATGAGGTCAGGGGTTAAGACAAGATCAAAGGGCAGAGTGGGCTCAGTCCCTGCTGAGCACCTTGACATGAGAGTCACTGGAGGTCAAGCCTCAAAGATCCTTAATCCAGGGGGAAGCCTGGGTGGTTCAGGGCTAGAAGACATGGAGGAAGTTCCCAGGGGTCAGGGACCTCAAGCAAGAAAGTCAGGCCCCAGATTCAAGCAGCAGCAGAAAATGGGGGCCAGAAAAACTGAGCCGTATCACTGATGGCAAGATCAAGGGCAGGAGACGCCTCCTGGCGTGTGTCCCCCTGTCATGGGCTTGATCCGATGGATGAACTTGCCGTGACAGGTGTTGATGGGGAGGTCATGGTCTAGTGTTGGAGGGAGGCAGAGCCCAGAGTCACAAATGACGAAGGTAGAAAGTGAGGCTGAGATGAGGCGTGAGAGGTCAGGGCAGCCTTCCGGGAGGGGGTGGCATTAAAGGACAGGCTAGGGCATTCTAGGTGGAAGAACCGGGCAGAGATCAGGATGTTGGCTTCTTATCCTGTGTGTTTAGGGGACTGGGTGGCACGAGTGCACTGTGCCTGAGACCCCTCCCGGGGTCTAGCCTACACGTGCTTGGGGGTTGCAGGACATTTGGGAGGCACAGGAGCGCCGTGCTCAGTGCGGGCCCCTCTCGCCCTCTCTCTGCCTAGGTCCTTTAGCAGCATGTCGGACATCACAGGTAAAGGCCTGGGGACTCCGTGGGGAGGGCTCATCTGGGGGCCCACCTGAGGGCTATGCTGCCTGCTCTGCCCTTGGCCTGCGTCCCCCTCCTGGAGGCTTTGCTGTCCTCTGGCCGGGCAGGGAGGCTCTGCTTGGGAGGCCCTGGGGGAGTTGCTTCCCACCTCTCACCCCGAGCCCACCCTGGTCCTCTCTCCTGGTCCCGGCTGTGCTCTATGGGGCTCCTCAATTCCAGCCCATCCTCCACCCTCTTCTGGGAAACTGTGGCCAGCCCAGGCCCAGCCCTGAGCCCCGTGAGTCCAACGTGTTCCAGGGGCCTCAAACCTGCCAAATCCCCAGGCCTCTGGGCCATGGGCCATCCCAGGGCTTGAGGGGCTCAACCCAGGGCCCTACCCCATTGCTCAGTCTGGCACCCCTAAACCTCACTCCTCCTCCCCAGGGAGTGTGACGCTTAAGCCCTGGTCCCCTGGCCTCTCCTCGTCCTCGTCCTCCGACAGCGTGTGGCCTTTGGGAAAGCCGGAGGGCCTTCTGGCCAGAGGCTGTGGCCTGGATCTCCTCAACAGGTGCTGTAGCTGCCTTGGGCGGGGGCGTGGAGCTGGGGGGCTGGTTCGGGTTCCGGAGAGGGGTGAGCAGGGGCGAAGCCTTCGCCTCACGGCTGTCACACCATTAAGGTCTTTAGACAGAGTCACACGTTGGATTCATATGCTGTCACCACCGCTTATCGTCTGGGGGACTTGGGCTGGTCACTTCACCTCCCTGGGCCTCAGCTTCCTCACTGGCTAAAGGGCCACAGTGATGTCTTCCACAGGTGGTGTTCGGAGGTTTAGGACTCGTGGCAGTAAAGCGCCCACTTTGCCAGGCAGGTGGTGGGTAGATGGTAGCTGTTACTTGTGCTACTTGCCTGTCCTCCCGGCTTGGGGCTCCCAGCAGGACTGAGCCTCCCAGCAAACTTCGCACTGAGGGTGGGGTGGGGCCCCTGCAGCTGGGCTGGCCCCAGGCCCACAGCTGAAGTCACGAATCGCCTCGGCTCAGAGCATGCTGCAGGTCATGTGCTCTGTCCGTTTTGGTGGATGCGTGGTCTCCCTGCTCAAGACTGTCCGTGATCTCAGGAGGGCAGGAGATGGAGGAGGCCGGTCTGAGAATGTGGCCTTTGAACTCAGGCGCAGGCGTGGGGGTGCTGCTGGGTGACATGGAAGAAGAGAGAACAGAATCTGTTCAGGGATGGACCTGGAGTTTGGTGGTGACTGGAGTGTGAGGGTGGGGGAGGGGAAAGGCGAAAGGCTAGGGCAGGCTTTGTGAGTCAGGATGGGGAAGTGTGGATTTTGGCTTGTGCACCCTGGGAGACCTGGTGGTGGTTGGGGGAACTTGGCTATTCCTAAATGCAGGGCCGGCTGCTGGCTGCCTTACAGCATTCCCTCTGTCCTGGGAGGCAGGCATTATTATGGTTAGCCCTGTTTTGTAGAGGAGGAAACCGAGGCTCAGAGAGGTTAACTGACTTGCCTGAGGTCACACAGCTGGGACGTGCCAGGGCCAAGGTGCAGAGTGACCTGATCAGATTTGGGTTTTGGAGGGGGCATAGGAAGCGCTGGTGTCAGAGCTGGAATGCGGGGATGCTGGTCATAGAGTGCAGGTCACACGAGAAATCAGGGCACAGCAGAGCCAGGGGCCTCCTGCCTCCTGGAAGCAGCTTGGCCAGGCCCCTGCCCCCACTCTCACCCTCCGGCACAGGGCCCAGTGCGACATTGTTTCTCACTGTGCAGGACGTGCTTCTGGGGGAAGGGGCGGAGGCGCCTCCCTTCCTGCCTGCCTCTGCCCTTCCTCCCTTCCTCTGCTCAGGCCTGCAGCAGGGGTCCTGGCTGCTGTCCAGGGGGCGCTGGGATGCAGCAGAGGGAGCTGGAGGTTCTGGCCCAGCCCCCACCTGGGCCCCATGATCACGTGGGGCCACCTCTGCTGCCCACGAAGTTCCTGGGAGGAGGGAGATGGGGGAACAACGAAGACTGAGGTGGACCGGGAGAGAAAGGGGTGGACCCATGGGAGGTCAGGGACTCAGTGCCCTAACGGGCTGGCGAGTGCTGTTTGCATGTGTCCTGGGCTGGAGGCAGGGTTACAGCTCAGAGCACAGGGGGAAGAACAGACTTGGGAGCCAGCTGAAGTTCAGGCTCTGCCACTCGCTACTGTGGGGCCTTGGGCAAGTCATTTTAATTTCTCAGTGCCTCAGTTTCCTGCTCTGTAAAATGGTTCACGATAGTGCCTGTCCCCTGGGGTCATTGTTGGGGTTTCCGGTGCTCCTACTAGAGTGCTTAGTATAGTGCTTGGCTCGCGGTGAGCGGGAAGCTAGCTCTTAGCTATTATTATTGATGCTATTGTGGCTTAATCCTCAGGGTAGCCCTGCAAGCCCCATTATACACATGAGGAAAATGAGGCTTAGAGTCAGGAATGTGTCCCATGGCCACTTGGTGGTGGAGCTGGGGATTCTGTTGTCCCTCCCGTCGAAGCTACTTTCACCTCACGCCCGTGTTGAGTGCCCGCTGTGCTCTGGGTGTTTCAGCGCTCTGCTCTCACCTGCCCCTATTGGCTCCCAGGGCCTTGGGGCATGGTAGGATGGGGGACATGGATGGACAAGCAGAAAAAGAGTGAAAGTGAGGTGATGAATGGGGAGGGCACTGGGAGAGTATTGGGGTGCTGTCTCACGGGCAGGGCCACCCCTGTCCTCACTTGTCACGTAGACATAGGGTCTCCAGCACTGGCCGACCTTGCACAGGGAGGGTTTGGATAGGTCATCACCTGACTCCACCACTCACCACGTGTGTAACCCTTGTCAAGTTATAACTTCCCCAGGGCCTCAGTTTCCCTCTTCTCTAATGTAGGGGGAATAACAGGCGGCTCCTGAAGGGTTGTTGGGAGGATTCAGTGAGGCAATCTGTGCGACATGCTTAAGTGTCAACTTCAAAGGTCCCTGGCCTGCCTAGGGATCTTCCCACAGTGCCCTGGGGTGGCGCAACACTCATCCAGGCCACTTAGCCCATCATTGCTCAGGGCTGGCAGAGTGAAGGACTTGGCCCCATTCTCCTGTGACCCAACTCCTGACCTGACACTGGGGAAGTGTCCTGGGATCCCATCCTTTCCACCCCCGACAGGCAGGGTTGGGGTCAATCAGAGTGTGCTGCCCGAGACCCAGGAGTCCTGAGAGGCTGGAACAGGCAGCCCCTGCCCCCTACGCATTCCTTTCTCTTCTGAACCCACTTGTCTTCTGAGGCCTGGGGCTGAGGGACCTGGCCTGGACCCTGCCCCCAGTGAACCGCCAGGTAGTAGCCTGGGGCTGTGGAGGCTCAGAGAAGTCACTTGGCCCCTTGGGGAGGTGAGCAAGGGCGTCTTGAAGGAGGAGATGCCTGAGCTGGGTCTCAGAGCAGCAGGAA